GGTGGTGGCGGCAGAGCTGTCAGTCAAATTAGACCAACTGCTTTCACCTTCAGCTGAATCAAACCACTAGTGAGACAACACTATATGCCGTAGTAATGTACATCAATCTTAATTATCAAATTTCGGCGATACAGGCACACTGACGATGCACTGCTGACAGTCTTCATTCCCGGTCTCCTTACTTTTCTAGGTTTATGACTCTTTATCAGTGCTAAAGGAAGTCACACTCACTGAATAAACTTGCCATCAAGGCTCATTTATCAGGAACCAAATGAGCCAGAAATAAATACGTCTAATTTCCAACATGATTACCGACTAAGTTTGATGTGAAAATAAACCCATGATTAAAGTGATTTCCAACTTTGGAGACAGACACAGTCCTCAGACAACAGCTGGCCCTCGTCTCCTAACTAAATATCCATTTACTCCAGTCCCATCCAAATGCAGCTTCACGGTTTATCAGTGTGAACTGTATTTTCACAGGAGTGTCAAAACACGCTTTGCAGCAACTTGAATTTCCACAGACAAAACAGACTAGGATACTTCTGTAACTGGTAATCACAAAGAGTACACGTCTCAAATATCATCTGCAGTAGGACGACTGTGATGCACTTACATTTATGCCAATAATAGAAAATAATAACTAGAAAAACTTCATGTAAATTCTGAACTCCTTAAATAATCTACAGGTTTTTTAAGCAGCGTGTGTGTGTGTGTGTGTGTGTGTGTGTGTGTGTGTGTGTGTGTGTGTGTGTGTGTGTGTGTGCGTGCGCATGTGTGTGATGTTTCTTCATCTCTCTTCATCTTTTGATTGCTTTAATTACAGACTTACTGTCAGCTTCCCACTCGGTGTGCAGGAAAAACAAACTCTTAGGGCACATGAAAAGAAGTCACACACACATACACGTACACACACACACACACACACACACACACCTATCCCAGCTCCAGTCAGTCAGTAGGCTCTTTGATTCTCTGCCTGCCGGTGATCTGTCTTTCATCATCTCCTCTCCCTGATCCCTTGTTCCCCTCTTTAGCTCTGCTGGGGCAGAATATCTCTCTCCCTGTCTCTGTGTCTGTCTCTGTTTATTTTGCAGCGGCTGTAGGTGGGAAGCCTAATCTGCAACCTGGAATTCATCTGGATGTCCTATTGCATCCCTCTAACTAGCACCTATAACAAAGTGATTGCAGAACAAATCAGTTCTTTCCACAAAAAATTTCCATATATTAACATAACTATGTATTTTGAGAGTGTGTCTTTAATGATGTTTCCCTAGTTAGAGGATTTTCTTGTTTCTAGACAACACAGTGCTGCAAAGTATGCAAAAACACTGCAAATCAGCATTCGACAAGCCTTTTAGGAACCACCATGAGTCATTTATTGTGACTGGCAGACATGAATTTAGCCACATCTATGATATGACCTTACTCAAAGAAAGTTATTCTTAATACATAGGTTTTGAGTAAAATCAATTAGCATGGTATCAGCATTGTTCATATTTTCAGTTGCCAGCATTACAATAATATAATGTGTGTGTGTATGTGTCTGTGTGTCTGTGTGTCTGTGTGTGTCCCCCCCCTCTGTGGAGATTTCCTTCTAACACAAATCTGAGGGACCTCTGGGTGCTCCTCGCAGGGGGATAATTCTCTTTGTCTGAGCAGCAGCTAGTCATGATGGATAGACGTCGTTGTGATGCCGGGGGAATCTTCAAAGCGCAAATCCTCATCAATCCATTCAAAAAGTAAATAGTTAAGAATTTAAGAGCTTATTTAGAGGGTTCAAACTTGCAAACCAACAGAGGTGCTCATGCCTGCTTTTGGTGACATGTATTGTACCTGCCTCCGTGAGCAGCACGAGGAGGGCGTAATACAGATCACATCAGATCCTACACACATCTGCACAGGTGCCCCGACCAACAACATGATCCCTCGCTGCCTTCCCACCTGCCAACTGTCTCACCAACCAAGCCAGAGATGCAACAGCTGGGGATTAAACCTGCCATGGTGTGCAATCTGTTTTACTTTCATCTTAGGACACAAACTCTAATGTGTTTGTGTGTATGATATAAAGTATGATTTTTAAAACCTCACTCTTTTCCATTTTTGCTTTTCCACATTGTAAGACATTAAATGCCAGATCTCCCTCGGCAGACTACGTATAGAAGAAATTGATGACTAACTGAAGTAGGTTCCCCATATGCAGGACTCTTAAGTAGACACAAATTAGACCACAAACCCCAATCTGATTAAACTTGCTCCCAGGGGCCCTACAGGGAGAGTTTTCAACTGTTGATTTAGTATTGGTTTGTTGAACTGTCTGCGCGGTGCATGGGGAAATAATAGTGGTGAGAGTGAAACCTATGATTAGAAAAGCTTATTCCTTTTATGTTGCTTTCCTAGGATTATTGCACGTAAATTAAAATATAATGAAATGCAGCTACCTCTCATTTTGCCAGGGACCTCCTGGAAGCCCCTGAGGGAGCGCTGAAGATTCACTGCCCTGTCTGAGGCCGCTACCTTGTCCTGTCCTGGTGAGTGTGACTGTGACGGTAACTGACTAAGAACATAGGGTCTACTGAAGGAAAAGCCTTTTCTTTCCTTATTAAGAAAGAATTATGCATTTGGTTCGAGCTAGATAGTATCAGTGTTGGGCGTATGCAGATGCTCAGCACAATGATAAAGAACAAATACTGTGGTTTCAACTCATAGCTGTTATTTCATCAGTTAATTATTTTTGTCCATTTCAGAATAGTTGTAAGGATTAAATCCCTGTGACAAAGGTAAATAAAGCCTCTGAAATTCACTGTATGGCATACCTTAGTTCTTAAGCAATCCATCAGACTTACTGACATAATACTTGAGTATGAATTCAGTATTAATACTAAATGTCTAAGTCTGTTTTACGCATACTTGCACAGTACATCTTTTATTTCACAAAACTGCCACTTCAGAATTTACTTTTAATAAAGCACTTTTTGTATTTTTCTATCCAAAATACTAATGCCAATTTTGTACGACTTTAGGCTAAGTCTAGGTGGAAGTATTTAAGTGTACTCTTTTTGTACTTTTTCCAAATGTAATAAAATATCAATATTCCTGCAGGGATGAAGATGACGCTTATGTTTTAGCTTCCCTCAGTTTATATTCTTTTAGATAACTAGAGCATCCCTGTAAATCTACCGGTCTTACATCCATGTTGATAATTATTGCAATCCTATAGCCTACATTAGACATTATGTACAGGACTACTGTAGCTCTTGCACGTGGTCCTGGTTCTGGTAAGGCAGTCTGGATAAAAGCCTGCACCAAACTGTTGTGCCATAAATAACATGTAGTAACCTAATGAGCTGAAATAACTTCACTTCCATAAGTAAACTCTGAAAGATGTGTTTAGTAGAATTTCACCTTAGATGTGTGAAGCATTATGAAACCTTCAGCCCTAACAGGCCTCCTGAGCTCTATAAATATCTCCACAGGGGGAAATGGATCGGCCGTGTGGATTGGAATCAGCTGTGACATCTAACATAAATCTCAGCAATAACTTTCACAAGAAAAAAACACATGATATCACTCCAGAATAAATAGAGTTATTGTGTGAATTCCAATACCAAACAGCATAAAGCAACACAGAGGCGAGTAAGTAAACAAATTATCTATTCACTTCAGTGTAGTATGGGATGATCACGACTACAGGCACTGGCTTTGTTAGTTTTTCTGCCTTGATCCCTTTAATCCTTAGAAACCATATTAACGTCGTCTTTTGAAGATGAGTTACACTCCCTCCCCTGTTTCTTCTCTCCGTCTCCTTTGCCTTTCTACCTGTGAACATGAAAGATTCAATGGCAGCGGAGACGGGCTGCACTGGGGGCTGCAGGGGGAGAGAGAGACACAGATAGAGAGACAGAAAGAGGGAGAGAGAGAAAAAGAGAGGGAGGGGGGATAGAGACGGATTGATTTCCACCTCCAGCAGCTATAGTTCAAAGCAAGCCAGCAGACTTCAGAGGCTCGGCAGGACCCGGCATGTCCCCGGCCGGGCCGAGCTGCCTGTCTGCGGGCAGGACTTCCCCCGGGGGCCCCGGGGCCCGGGACAGTCAGGCGGCACCAAGAAAACAATTATGCAGACAGAGGAGAAAAGTGTGCAAGGTCACAAATGCACACTTGCTCAAACACCCACAGTCATAAATAAAATGTCATAGACAGCCTTCCTGACATATGATAAGGCTGATATGACACATGAAAAGCATTGAAAGAAGCCACTATTGAGAAATTAACAACTCAAATCCCCTGTCTACTGCCTACATCTCTAATAAAATCCACACTGACCAAAGTCATAAGAGCATAAAGCCAGCGTTTAGGTCTGCATGCTTGCAATTCAAAATCATACCCCTGTCACAGAGCAACTGAGGCCTAAACTACAAAGCTAGTGATGTGAGAAATTAGAAACAATCTCATTTGTCTTCCACCTTCAGCTACAAACTTTGCTGCAACACGCACAGTACCTGTCACATAGTCCAGAATGTATCTGAGGACATGCTTGTTTCATATACATACCGCACTCACAAATAGAAATATTTAATGAAGTCTAGATGACATTCATGCGAATAATCCAGTCTCATGCACTTGACAACAAATACATCTGCATATACAGCCTGGGATGTGTATAGTTTGGCTTGTCGGAATCATCCTCTCAGATAAATGAGATGTCATCTAAATCTAGGAAACCTGAGTTTGGGGTCACTTTTGCATTTTTTTTTACTCAAAACAGTAGGCCTACTCATAAACTATGGTAGATACAACTTTTGCATCAGCAGCTGTTTCCTCTCTTCTAAAGCCTACATTTCCCAGAGCAAAAAAATGCATAACAATTCATACTTATGGTAAAAAATTACAGTAAAGGTACATGTTTGTTTGGCATAATAAGTGTTGCTCAGGAATTTCCCCGAAGTCTTGCAGCAATCCGTCCTTGCATTCCTGAGAGTGGAGCTGCTCACACGTCTTACCTGGAGCTCAGAGAGGGGGGCACACTGGTCTGGTTTCTCCGCTGCTGCACTGCGGGATCAGCTGGCGGGCGGTCAGTCCTACGTGATCGGCGATCAGTCTCTGGTGTGGTGTTGGAGAAGCATCGCCGAGGTTACTGGCTGTCTTACGAGTTTTTACTCCGCACTGCTCAAGTTGTGTCTCAGCCTCCACTTTGGTACATGTCGGTGTGTGCGCAGGCTCCTCCTTGATGAGGAAAAAAGTGAGAAGTTTTCTCCGCCCTGAATCAGACGCGCATTAGCATGCTCCAGGTAGACTGACTGCTCGGCGGGGAGAAGTTGCCACGCTGCAGGCTACGACTCAACTCCGCCATCTAGTGTCCGCGAGGAGGTGGTGGCAGTGCATAAAGGTAAACCTCCATTGATTTTCATAAAAATGACACATGTGACTAACGCAAATCATTAATACAGGTATTGACAATAGCCTGGACCTTCACATTAAGATATGCTACATTACATTTTATTAGCCATATTACAGACAAATAAGGCAGTAGCCTATGTATCAGTTTGGTTAACACACAAAAGCTATTTAAACACATAAAGATCGCATTTCTAAGACATCTACACACTTATATTATGAAAGCTCCAACTGATATTCGACGACTATGCTATTACAAGTACTGCAAATACTACCACTGATGGAAGGAGTGTTTAGGTCTTGCACTAAATTAAAGTCCTGCACTGAAAATGTCACTTAAGTACCTAGTAGTACAAATATTATCACCTAAATCTATTTCAAGTATGGAAAGTCAATTTTGCAGAGTTATAAAATGTTAAAAAATGTTTTTATTACTGATGTATCAACCTGTATGAAGCATTTTAATCTTGTTATGATTGTCAAGGTGGATGTACTGTTGAGCAATTTAATCTGTACAAAGGCACACTTTATGGGTATGTTTCTATGCAGAATCTGTGTCAGATAAATGTAGAGGAGTAAAAGTTATAATAGGCCTATTTGTCTCTGAAATGTGGTGGACTAGAGGAATAAGGTTGTGGAATCATTGAAATACTTAAAGTACATTAAAAAATTAACTTAGTCATGTACAGTGCTTCCGTACATGTACTTAGTTACTTTTCACCACTGAATACAACTGCTAATGTCGTTTCTTTCACTGGTGCTATCAGATGCACACACACAAACACACACACACACACACACACACACACACACACACAGACACACACACATGCTTCTTCTTTCTTTTGAAACAGAAGCTATAAATTACTTTGAGTGTGTTTGTGTGTGTGTGATGTTGATGACTGGTGCCTGTTGTCTGAGTGGGACTAAAGCTGGACTTTAGTCTTCCTCCTCCTTCTCCTCCTCCTCCTCCTCTTCCTTTCCGCTGCTTCTCCTTTTCTCAGCCACAGGAAGGGGGACATAAAAGAGGGGCTTTGAAAACACTGGGAGTCCTGTAATTACTTACTCTCCCTCTCTGTCTCTGTCTCTGTCTTTCCCTCAGCCCCTCTTTCTCTCCTTCTCCTTACCTATGTCGCTCTCTTTTTTGGTCACTCTCTCTTTTTTCTTTAACTTTCTCTGTCCCTCTGTCAGTCTGTCTCTCTCTTTCCGTCTGTCTTTCTCCATCCTCTTCTCTTTTTTCTTTCTTCTCTCTCTGTCTCCCTCATCCTTTCATAGGCTCATTGATGTCGATCCAGGGGCTTCCTGACTGAAAAGGAGGATGAGAGGAGAAGAGATTAGATGAGAAGAGAGGATAAAGAGAGGATAACAAGAAGAGCGATGAGCTCTGCTGAGAGAATGATGGCTGCTCTGTCACACACCGGACAAAAACACATATTAAGCAAAACCTGTATTTACTGGGTGGTGTAAGATAAGAACACATGCACCTGACTCTGCATTAGGTGGAATGAGAAGTAACGAGATAGTATATGTCGAGATAATATGAAATATGATATATGAGACAATATAGTAATATGAACTGAAATACATGAGGCATAATGTGATGAAAAAAGATTAAACAAGATCAGGTATTACAACATAAAGGAACATGTAGTTTAAATAGCATACAGCAAAGAAACAAACAATATACTGTATATGAAAAACAAAACATGAGATATGAAAAATAACATTTAGGATGGAAAGATGCTACCAAAAATGTTATTTTGAAGATTTTTAGCTTGATGAATCATCTATTAAGCGTTGTTTTGAAGCCCATAAGCCGTATTGAAACATCTCGACATGCACATTCACTTACATATTTTTTGTTCAAGGCTAAATATGACATAATATAACATAATATATAATTTAATGTTATTTTTTCAAATCTAACCAATATGTTATCTCTGTGTGCTACCTTCCTGTTTTACTTTCACTTTATTTTATGGCTGCACTATTATTAAATGGTCTTAAAAAAATAGGGTTTAGAGTTATGAGTACTTGCTCCATGAATAAAATTAATCATTGGCAGAATATATTGAGTCTCTATAAAGTCTTAAGGTCACCATGCATTCAGTGCAGAGCAGCTGTCATAGACTGGCTACCCTGTCATAGCCCCCCCCCCCCCCACACACACACACACACACACACACACATACACAAACACACCATATCAAAGTACTGTAGCTCAGAGAAGACAGCAGTCAGTGGAGGCCTAATTTGCAGCTTGATATAATGAAGTCAGGGTAAATTCAATTTCCAGCAAAATCATTAAAAACAAACTTCTTCATGCTTTTTATGTGCTCCAAGGAGTCTTGAACCCTGGAGGGAGAAGTTGAAAATATGGTGCAACAGTTATGCACTTTTCAAGGATGAAACCAAAGCAGTAAACAAATGCAGTAGCTGATATTTTTCAACTGATATTTATTTACCAAATTATCTTCCATGGAAAAATGTAGATTTAAACCGCAGTGCATATAAACTCTTCCCTGAATCCCAGGTTTATATTTGTACATACTGTATGTACAATTTTTTCTGATCCAATGTTACATAGAACCAGTTCATGTTAAGTTCTTCCCACTGAACAAACAAAAATGTTTATAAAAAAAAACAAACAAAGGTCATATGCATCACAACAATATCATATTGCGCAAATATTTTGGTATAACCCTTTTGTTTTTTTACAATAAAAAAGTGACAGTTTTTCCCCTGTGCCTTGAAGAGCGCACTTATGCTGTACAAGTGAACCTACCCAAGTGACTATGAACTTGTTAGTACCCCTGTTAGTATCCCCACATGTGCATTGTCTGTGAGAACACACACTTGTCCTCTAACTACTTTTCAATAAGGAAGCAAAAAGCCAGTTGCCATGGTAACTGCCGTGTCAGCTAACCTACTTTTGCATGAACGAAGGACATTGGTCGATGAGAGAGAGGTGAATGGTATAGGTACATAAAGAGGATCCATACAAACTCCCACACACACTACATATTATATTTGATCGTCTCAGGCAAACAAGCTATTATCTTTCTGCAAAGCAGAGGCCACAGGAGAAGAATATGAAAGACGATCATTTCTGCTATTATTGATAAAGAACCCCATAGGTAAACCAGGTTCATGCAGAAGAAAATAGCCATAAAAAACAAAATATGAGTGCCAATGAAGCTAAGGCAGAAGTCATAGCTCATCCTAACAATGGTTTCCCAAAGGACAACATTTAATTACAAAATAATTGCACTGCAGAGATAAAAACAATGAAGTTTTATTTCGTTTATGACAACAATAAAACGTATGATTGCTGTACGAAATAGAATACAGAGCACAAAACGCCAAAAGCCTATTGGAAACACATAAGAGGCTTAACTAACTTACCTTGCCAAGCCATAAGAAAACTGGGCACCCCTCACTGACTGTCTACCCTGAGGAAGGAAAAAAAAATGCAAGGTCAAATTTTTGAGAGGATAAATTAAGAAAAATGGCCCTCGGAGGAACTGCTCAGCACGCCATAATATGCCAAACCATAACAAATTGTGAAAAAGTTCATGAACATTAGATAAGAGAACAAATAATACAAGGTTAAAGGAGGCAAAAACCACAAAACCCATTGTAAATGCACATGCTTTTATAGTCAATAGAACTGGCAATACCAACACTTGCATTATGTATTATATGAAAAAGAATAACATGGTATACAATGTACGAACACATAATCTGAGTTCATCTTTAAAAGACTGAACACAGAGCTGTTTAACCCTTCTAAAAGGCTGGTTTCCACACCTAATTGGCACGTCAGCTATTTAACAGCATCCACCTTTTGTCTGTTATTGACAACAATGTGTCTGACATGGAGCCCCTATATGCCAGTTAAATTGAGTGAGGGGGATTTCATCCAATAATAATTTTTTTGTTTGCTTCTCCTCATAGTTCCACTCTAATTCAGAATCATTGGCTGTGGAGAATTGCATTAACCAGATGAAACACACTGGGCATGACATGAGTGCATATGATAGAGAGAGAGAGAGAGGGAGCAAGACACCACGACTTTGGGCTTTTTGCCAGCACTTGCTGCGCTAGTGAGGCATTCAAAATCAGGGTTTGACAACAACAACAACAACAACAGCAACACACACACACACACACACACAGACGTTTTCAACGCCTGATTTACTGTAGCATTGCAATATTCTGCAGCCACGGGGATTCAAATACATCAGTATCAAATGGCAGGTCTCTGTAGATGAAATGCAAGGGGAGCTTCCTCTCACAGCTGAGCTGAAAAAGTGCAAAAAGTCTTCAAGTTACCCCATTAGTGGTCCAAAAGATTTGGATTTTAGAATATTTTTTTCTTTTCTTCATCTTGCGTCTTGTTGTTTTAAAATTTTGGGGCCTGTTATTTTTCATCTCTACCAGATAATATTCAGTTTTACTGCTTTGGTATGTATATTACATATGACCTATACTAAGTACTGCAGGGGTAAATTAACCAGCACTTCAGCCTCAATTCAGTTCAATTACTATGACTATGCCTTGTTATTGTATGAACCATCTTTCAGTCTCTCTCTATATATGTACATATAGAATGTGAATGTATGTGTTGATAGCAGAATAGTGTCATTGTTAAATAAAATAACAAACCATGGCAATGCTGTGGCGTAGGTACTTTATTGTGAAATGAATAACAGTATATAACAGTTCAACAGTTTCAGTATCTGACTAATCGGTGCTGTGGTTGCACACCACATACTCCACATACTCACCCTCCTTCTGTCTCATTTTATGCCTCAGCAGTCCACCCTCTGCTTTTCACCGTGGGTGGTAAATAGTGGGCCCAACCCACCCACCCACCCACCTAGGAAGGCGTCACTGTCACACACACACACACACACACACACACACACACACACACACACACACACACACACACATAGAGACAAACGTAGACACACATATGCCTAAATCACTCCCTATCCCCCTAGGCCTGAATGTGAGAGCAGAGCAGGTCTGAACAGGTGGAAAAGCAAAGCAAACCTGCAGTCATGGCTGAGAAACACCACACGCACACACACGCACACACGCACACACACACACGTTTCTTTGTTCTTTATCTGTGTTGTGTCCATCACATAGTATATGACAGTATTACTCCTCAAGGTATACTTCTGAGGAAATGTTTTTACCTTTATTTTAATATTTAACAATCCCACAATTGAAAGAAAACTTATATAGCAAAAAAGGCTATATAATTTATGGCTACTAATATTGTAAATTACAACAGTTTCTGCAGCCCACACTGAAATTTAGAGTAGTAATCCAATAACATCCATTGTACCTGCTGATGCTAAAATGGAGGCACATGGCTTATTTTGTTTTATATGGTTTCACTTGACTACAATATATAATTTTGTCTTATGTTGTTTTTGTTTACCATCGACATCACTAGTTGAAATGATAACTCTTAGAAGATTTCAGTTGTTCAAAGTAGAAAAAAAAAAACATCAGCTGGTGTCCACCAGGCGTCGCCAGAAACCACAATTTCCCAAAGCTCAATTTTCCCGCTGTATGTGATCACTGAGGTAAAGTAAAGGATGTAAGCTCCTGTCAGGTGGGTATTACAGGGTGAGACACCGCATGAATTGTTACTAGTTTAAGATTGATTGGTCCTTCCTACACATAATTAGACTAGACAAACTAAATCAAACAACTGTTTGGAAGCTAAGTCGAAAACATATGGACGCACAAAAAGCAAACTCGCCATAAAAGAGGATCTTTAGAACCGTCACCCCAAGAATGTATTGTTTATGAAGGTCTTTGTGAGCAGGTGAGATGAATAGAAAGCCCTCCAACAACCTCTCGGGTTTGGTAGAAAGGTGTTACGCCAGCCCAGTGTTTCTTTTTTTAACTAGTGTGTGTGAAGGTGTGAGGAGAGAAGAAACGCGGCTGGTGGTAATCACTAAGCGGCTCCGCAGCTGCCTGTCTCTGGTGGTTATAAGGTGTCTTTCTCTCCCTCTCTCTCTCCCAGTCAGTATCAATCTGTCTCTGGTGCGTGAGCGCGCGCTGCAATTGTGATCTGCGCGCGGATGATGATGATGAGAGCGTGACCTCACCGCTTTCTGCACAGCTGCTGGAGAGAGGGGGAGACTCAGAGAGGGAGAAAGCGCGACACAGAAACACGTTGGGGGAGACGCGGAGAGCTACAGACCAGCGGAGAACATTCACACATCAACACAGGCGCAACTGTTCGGTGAACGGGGCTCCGTCACGGGGCGACCGTTGGCTGCTTCCCGCCGGTCCGCCTCCCAGAATGTTCTGTGCTCCCGGTTCATTTCTACGGTACACGAACCAGTCGCCGCGGCGTTCCCACGGACACTGAAGCCCAGATGCTCACCCTCTCCGCCGACATGGACGAGTCTTCGTCGCTTCTGGATCTGCTGGAGTGCTCGGTGTGCCTGGAGCGCCTGGACACCACGGCCAAGGTACTGCCGTGCCAGCACACCTTCTGCCGCCGCTGCCTGGAGAACATTGTCAGCTCCCGGAACGAGCTCCGCTGCCCGGAGTGCCGCATCCTGGTGGACTGCGGGGTAGACGACCTGCCCGCTAACATCCTCCTGGTTCGCCTCCTGGACGGTATCAAGCAGCGGCCCCAGCGAGGGAGCGGAGGAGGAGTAGGCGCAGGCGGCAGGCAGTCCCTGGCCGGGGGCTCGCTGCAGGGATACGCAGCCGGGATATCAGCTTCTCCCCCGGGCAGTGCGATCAGAGAGCTGCCCGTAGCCACCAGGAGCTCCCCTGTTAAGGTTGGTTACTTTCCCAACATCCACTGTGTGTGCCAGTAACCTATCTCTCTCAGTAGAGTAGCCTACTAAAGCACCCAAACTATGTCAAATGTTTCCACGTTTATGAATCCTTGTTTATTCACACTTTCTAAAATACAACTTCAATATTTACGAATGGTCACGAGCCTCTATTCAATCGGTATTCACAAGACAACATAATACCAACTTCAGGATTGACCCTCCCTCTGTCCCTTTGTAGCAGCAGATTTTGGTGGAAGAAGATTTTGAGGACAATTGAACTGACGAATTCCCCACTGTTTATCTCTGGTGTTTGCTGTTAAATGGGGAACAGTGTGTTCGGCTTGCCGCCTGCACAGATATGAAGTCGCTCAATGGTCATATAGATGCAAATTTGACTATGCTCTGAAATTTCATGCTGTGATACTGACTGCAGCAAAGATTGTTTGACAATCAAACAAGATGAGGAGTTATGGAACACTGACAGAAAAGTGAGAATAAAAAAGCAGTGCTTTGACATGTCCATAATATTTAGTTCAATGGAGCAGTAGGAGTGAGTTTCTGTTGTTTTGTCATATTGTTGCTGATGACAGATGTATCTATTGACTGATGTGTACTGCTGTCTATTGATTGTTTTGCTGAATTATCACCAGTTATGCCTGTGATATTCTCTCATGTGGTGCTACTTTGGTATCATAATGAGGCTGTCTTTCCTGTGATGCCACTGAGGGATAATTAAAGTGTGTGTGAGGGAGAGAGCCAGTGAGAGACATACAGACAGAGTGCAAGGGGCACCTGTCTGTGTTACTGTTGTTACCATAGTCCTGGTAAAGCCCAGTTGCCCACAGGCTGCAGCAGTGTGAGGTTTCATAACCCAAGCTCAATGGGAGAGGATCGGAGAGCCTTGTTTACTTGCAGTGCAGTGTGCATCCAATGCATTGTCTCACAGCTGTAATGTGAGATGGGCTGAAGAATGTGGCTGTAATGTGGCAATGAGTCAGAAAATGTGATAGCATCAGCACTGTGATGCAAAAAATGTTAACATTTTGCCTCCAACTGGAATCTAAAATCTTACCAACAAACCTCAGGCACTTGTGTAAATGCCTAGTTATATTGCATTTTCACTGTTTACCTTGAATCATTAGTATCATGAGCTGCAAAATCTGGGGCTGCAATAACCAATTGTATTTTTTTTCATAAATGGATAGATACCTATCAGATGCTTTTTTTTCAGAACATGAATTCATTTTTCAATCCATGTAATGTCAAGCAAAGTGTTTCCTAATGCCCACCTTGGAGACAGGTGCTTAGGAAAATAAAACCATGGAAAAAAGAGAGTGTTGAATTCCTGCACACAGTCAGCACAAACTTGATTAGAAATGCAAAGCCTGATGGTTCCCTGAGCATAAGCATAGTCTATTAAATGTAAAAAAAAAAATGTAGTTTCTGTCTGACCAGCAGCCAAGAAATCCCCAAATATTCAATATACAATATGAAGTGAAGAAATGAAAGCAGTTCGTTTCTTCTGAGAAGGTGTCAGTGAGATCACAAAGCAACACCGGATTTATATGAAATTTAAAAAAAAAATCCTTCAAGGAAGAAATGCTTGACATGACCTCACCGCATTGAGTTTTTGTTACATGTTTCTTACAAACAAGATTTCCAGACTCATGCCGTAACTTGTTAAGCTGGATATACTGTATTTGTCAAAGGCGAGCTTGTGTGTTGTGTGTTTTCTGATTAGTCCAATGGGATTTGCATGAGGGTGGTCGTGGGCAGGTATGTTCACGTTTGCCCTGAGCAGTTTTTGGTTTTCCTTTTGAGTTTAGTGATATCCTCAATAAGAGGGCTGCAATGAATAATCAGGCTAAAGGAAGGCGTTGACATCAGCCTCCACCCCCGCACCCCACCCCCAACGAGTACAACAAGACTTATCAGGCAAGAAGCCATTGATTGAAGCAGTGGACCACTTTGGTGTGATGGAGTGCAGCGGCAGTGAGCAGTCAGTCATTCATGGCGATGAACAGGAATCTAAACCCTCAATGACATTTCCACTAACACTTAACACTCCACTTCAATTCACTCAATAAGCTTTACCGGTCCCCACAGGGCAATTTTATGCATGGCACATGAAAGCACACACACGCAAAAGAGACATGCTACAATACAGAGTTTTAACAACTGTTTAGACAAATGCTTATCATAACTTTGTGGAACCCACAGTGACATCTTAGTTTACATTTTCCACTGGAAAACCTGAAACCAGAATAAGACTTATTGACTTATTGCATAATTAACTAATCAGTTCAGCACTGTTATATGGTGCAAAATGAGAGGAATTTCAAAAGTTGTATGAAAAATGTGTCCAAAAGAGTTGTAACCTTACACAGAGGGATGCATGCACTCACAGAGTTGTGTCTCAATGACTTCAGAGGACATTACATGGACTTACATTCATTTCCTGGAGATTTACTCTAACCTTTACCATAACACTACTTGCCTCACCCCACACCCCAATAATAAAACATTACGATATGGATGTTTTTTGTCCCCATAAGGAAGACAAGTCCCAATAATGTGGCTGTGTAAACAGACCTAGGTCCCCACAACTTGAGTAACACCTGGACTACACACACACCTATAACCCATTACCCTCTGCAATTCCCTGCAGCCACTTTGCCCAAGTCTCCTCCATGCTCCCTACGGACTAAGGGCTGGTGAGAAAGTGTGAATTAATCTTGTTTAACAGTGGGGTGTGTGTGTGTGTGTGTGTGTGTGTGTGTGTGTGTGTGTGTGTGTGTGTGTGTGCGCACATGTACGTACATTTGGATGTGCATCCCTGTGCACATAAAAAGCAAGGGTCTGTCTGTTAAATCTGTCATTGAGTGACACACTCATGCAGTACCACTACCCACAAGGTAAAAGAGTCACTGCACATCAGGTGTTAAGGGTTGTGGATGAGAATGAATGTGTTGCTATGGAAATGGAAGAAGAGGCAGACCTGCTGAGTCAGCAGTAAGACTTGGTTTTCCCCCTGCTGTTTGTGCTCTTTGAGCTTCTGTTGCTGACCTCGTACTTTGACCAGCAAGAGTTTATCAAGGCTGATCTTTTTCTTTTTTAACCATCTCCTTGTGAAATTAACTTTTCAGAAATAGGCAATTTGCCAAGAGGTAGTAAAGTAGATTACCTGTTCAGAATTCCATAGGAATGTTTCATCGTCCTTATTCACTTGCTATTCTGCTAACTGCTGATTCAGTTAGTGGGTCAAGAATTGAAGTGCTAAGTTCTCTTGTCTTGGTCTTGATTTTTGCTCTATTAGCCCAAAGAAGAAAAATGTTGCAGCTATGGGGACTGTTATTGTTACTGCTGACAAGGATGTCACTTGTATGCCATGATTGACTTTTTTTTTTTTTTTTCTGCGGAATATTGATTCAGTCAACTGATTTTAGTCCAGGTTTTCATTACTAAGATAATAAATGTGGCATATTATGCAGCCTCGGTGGAGGCCTTTACCCACTAAGTGCTTCTAGTTTGTGTAATTGTTTGTGTGCTCACAAGAAAAAAACACTTCAAAGTGAAACTTATTCCTGTTGTAGATGTCTTTGTGCCATGTGTCATTCCTGCACATTTCCTGCTGAGTCATGGCCTTGGACAAGTGGTAAACATACAGAGTAATATAATTGTAGAAAGTATTTATTATTTGGGTCTCATTTTCGCACAGTGTGGTGTGCCTTAAAGCCTATTTTAGAATTAAGTTTTGAGGTAGGTGCCTCAAACTTCAACTAACTGAAGAATTTTCTAAACCTCCTCTGCACAATATGTATAAATATAAACCAGTTTGATACTGAGCCTTCTGCAGTGATTTTCACTGATTTGATCAGAAAGTTCTCAATAGTCAGAAAGGTACAGACCACCCTGCTGGGACATTAGTGTTCTGACGATCAAAACATCACACTATTTAAAGCTTCTCATAGACAGCCAATGTAGCACTGACCAGTTTACAAATATGTATTCAAGAAAACTGCAGAATATCAGGTCCTTTATTCTTTATACACACAGTTTTATCATCAAGTCTTTGTGTGTGTGTGTGTGTATGTGTGTGTGTGTGTGTGTGTGTGTGTGTGTGTGTGTGTGTGTGTGTGTGTGTGTGTGTGTGAATTAAATTGTGCTCCCGTTTATAAATAATCACATCAAGAAGAATTGTGAGCTCAACTGTGAGAAACATATTGGTGATAATGTCGAAATGTGCCTGCTTGTCCAGTTTCCATCAAAGTGTTGTGTCACAATGATCCCAACCCTTGATCTTCTTCCTTACCTGTGTTTACCTGGTGTGGCTTGCTGTGGTGACGCCTGAGGTTTCCATGGCAACATACTGCAGCAATGACACCACCTGCTTTCATCTCCGGAGTGAGACGTTACTTTGCCCTGTCATTCCCAAGTGTGTGTGTGTGTGTGTGTGTAAGGATTAGGTGGGGGCTCTGAAAAGGAAACAGCCTGTTACCAATCCCTGTAATGATCCTTTGAACCTGTGTCTTTTGTATTATAGTGCACTAGGGACACACACACACAATCACAAGGGCTAACCTTAACGTAAACTTAATTCTACCCTTCCAGTCCTTTGAAGAAGGAAAGATCCTCACTCTCAAAATCTAAACCTTAAATTGGTCCTCACAAACACAGACATACAAAAGCAGAGACACACTCACACAGTCACCACATTTCCTGCTCTACAGCTCCATTCATAGTTAATCTCTATATCTCCTGCACCTTTATAATTTTCTGTTTCCTCTCACACAAACACTCTCTCAAACACACACTTACACAGACACACACACAGACACACACTCATATCCAGACGTGCATGCACATTCATTCACATTCATTAGTGTTATAAACTGCTGATCTCTGGCAGTAAACAACAAACTCTCCTTCATTGCCTTCACATTACACCCTCACTTCATAAATACTGAACACATACTGTACATGCACACACACTACGCAGA